CATAAGGGTCTTACATAAATTGTTCTTATGTTAGAACAATCTCTATGTGATGTATATGAGGTGTTTGGGTAGTTTGTTTAAGGGAACGTTTGCAAGGTTGTACAATAATGAGTTAAGGATTTTTCTGTTTTGTGAGTCAAAACAGAGTTGAAGATGAGCAGAGTTTAGGAATGAGCAGAGTTTAACAAAAGTTTTATTTTTCTCTTCTCTTTCTTTTCCCTCCAAAAATTTCCTGCTCATGTCTTATGAAATAGTCCCTTTTGTAGATCCTTGATTGAGGTTTAGGAGGGAATCAAAATAAGTTATTTTGAACTGTTTTTCCCTACAGCTTTGATACTTTTTCCACATAATTTTCTTTTTCCATTTTGGTGCAATTTTGTGGCTGTTATGATGTAGGTTGGAGCAGTCTACATAGAGCAGTTTTGGATTGGTTTTTTTGGACATATTTTGGACATATTTTGGATTGTATATGATAGCATATGCAGGTTTTTGTGACAGGTTTGTGGTGCAACATAGCACAACGTTTTTTTAGGACAACAATAGAGCAGGGTTTTGGAGTGTTGTAGCAATGTATAGAAGTAACATATCATACTTTATTTAGCAATAACTTAGACAGCATAGTTTGCAACATGAAACAAGTTTGGTTTGTGGAGCAATTTATGAAAATTGTATCAAAGACAAAGCATTGTGGCAAGGTTTTGAGTCAAAGGAAAAAGTACAAACAATACAAAGTTTAGAATTTGTAAAATTGCAAAAATACCACTTTGTAATAACTTGAATTATTTGTAACATCTTGAACTATTTTGAACTGTAGTGACAATATGTCATGACGCAATGAACTTAACTTAGAAAAATTTCCAAGTCTTGCAAAAGTTGGATTTTTGACTTTCTTGATTTTTGATGATCAAATTTCATATTTTGGATGTCTTGATGAAATATGATTTTTGGGACTCAACTTTGGTCAAAGAGTCAAAGTTTGACTTTTTAGTGTACAGTTGACTTTTCCCACAAGTTGAGCGAATTTTGTCTATCAATCCACTTATCTCAGGAGATGAATTGAAATATGCGATTAGGTCAAGGTGACGCGCTCGGATCCTTGAGATCATGCTTCCAACCAATAAGCCAGGTATTAGGTCAACAATCAAAGTTCGGTCATTTTCAGTCAAAACCCTAATTTTGCCTATTTTGCCCTTTTGGTAATTTGAATGACTTTCTTGGAAAATTGTGACCCAAGACTTGAAACTGGACAAAAATAATCCTGAGGGTCCATAATGATCCATGAAAGTCATTTGAAATATTAGAAATCCAACTGCCTTTGTACAAACTCAAACCCTAATTTGAGGCATCAGTGCTGAGGAGATTATTTGACCTAGTCGATGCTTGCGCAAACTTGAATCATTGAAGATCTTTGTAGGAAATATCTTGAGAAATGAGAGGGAAAACTTTGGGGTACAACACTAATATTCTCTATTCACCCCATATTCTCTACACTTTTAGTCTTACACCCCTCAACATCTCAACCTCTAATTTTCCCAAATTGCATCACATCACATCATAAAATATGGCAACACAAGTAAACACATCATCTCATATAATTATTTTAAATAAAAATAATACTACTTAAATCGGGGTGTTACAAGAGGTGGTGGGTTTGTTGTATGTGCTTTTAAATGGTTCCGAAAATTTGGGTTTAGTGTCTTTGATTTTGGATTCAATGAGTTTTTCTAGACCAATGGCTTGAGAGATTTAAGTGAGGCGTTTAGTGGCCATTTCATTCCTAATTTCCAGGTTCAAACCGAAAATAAAACAATTTAGAATTTCTTCTTGAGGCAAACCTACAACCTGGTTACCAAGTTTCTTGAATTTGGCTTGATAATGCATAACGGACCCCTCTTGTTTCAATTTAAACAATTCTTCCTGGTGGTTATCGTAAGTAGAAGGTCCAAAATGCAATTCCAAAGCCCGTGTAAATGATAACCAATCACTTAGTAAATGATTCAAATGCATCCACTTAAACCAACATAACGCATCACCTTTCATATAAAAAAAACTAATGACAATCTATTTTCGGGTGGAAGATTGTAAAAACTAACAAATTGGTCTGCTTGGAACAACCATTCAAAGGAGTTTGAGCCATCGAACAATGCTAACTCTAATTTAGGTTTTAGGAAAGGGGGTAAGGGTGGGATATTCAGAATGTTAGGGTATGTTGGTAAATAGGTTAAGGAAATATTGTAGGGTGGTAGAGTGGTGAATAATGGTTGGTATTGTGAGTAGGGTGGTGGTAGAGCTGGAGTGGATATGGGTGGAGCCGAGATAGTAAGGTGGTGTGGGGTTTGGGAAAAATAGCAGAGTGGTATGGTGGTGTGTGAGCAGGGGTGAGGTTAAGTGGAATGGTGGTGGTAGGCATGGGAATGGAGAATAAATGACGGGTTAAACCCGATGAACTAACGGCAAACAAGACATTGATAGAGTTTACTGGATCTCGTTGAATAATTAGTTTGTTCAACATAGTCATTAAAGCATCATAAAATGTATTGGAGATCTGATTTTCGTTGTCCAATCTGGTATGTATTTGTGAGAGTTGCTATTGCAGATCTTCAGCAGACTGGTTGAACCGTTCATCCAACTGCATTTGAGTTTTCGACATGGCATTGTGAAAATGAAGCTGGATGGTGTGAACTGCAGTTTCGATAGCTTCATCAATGATTTCTTTGGAAGTTGGATTTGAGGGTTTAAGAGGAGCCATGCGAACAAGTGATGAAAGCACCAATGATAAATTATAGCTAGGTTTACACTAAAACTATAATTGTATAGAGATAAAACAAAAAAAAAACTTTCTTCTTAATTCATCCCAAACTGAAGATTACAAGACCAACTAAAGAAAACTTAAAAGTGCTAAACAAACACCCTTATTTCATAACAAAGTATTTAAATCAATTGGGCTGTCTTTTTTCCTTCATGGGCTTAGTTGTTTTCTTATCATTTTAGTTTTGAGAATTTCTTATTCCACCCCATACACAAAAGAAATATTCTATGTATTCCCTAAAATACCCCTCAAAAATCAAAAATATATTTCCGATGCACACTTTTTTTAAGTTGCACTTACGTAAAACCAGAAATACACTTCCGATATAAATCGAAAATACCCTTTCGGTTCGAACAAATGAAATACTTTAGGCCATACATGAATGAAAAGGAAATATAATTTTAAATTTGTTATAAACTTTTAGAGGTTGTTTGGTAAATAAGATACTGATATGATATGATTATGATAGTTTTATCCTTTTTATATATTTAGGCCATATTGTTGGGGGGAGTTACTAGGAGCACCGATACATAGTATAGAACTAAGTACCTTTCTGAGAGACATACCACTTATCCACCTAAAATTTTAAGGTAATAGGTGAGTGAGTTCTCTCCACATTCCTATCCAATATGAGACTGTTTCTCCACTTACTACTGTTGTTGACATCTTGCAACGTGACACCAATTCTAGGTATATTTCAATGCAAGTCTCTTCCGGTCTCTTTCTCGAATCAAAGGCTCTAATACCATGTTGGAGGGAGTTACTATGAGCATCAATATATAGTGTAGGACTAAACACCTTTGTGAGCGACATACCACTTATCCACCTAAAATCTTAAGAGAACCCACTTGTTACTCATACTTGTGATATTATTCCAACACATACATGATATAAAATGTAAAATTATTATTTTACTATATTTGATGTAAAATTAACACAGACGTGATCAAATATATAAGGTATCTAAATTACAAAACAACCATTATAAAAAAAATACAGTATTTTTTATAATTAATTGTAATATTTGAAATTTAATAAATAAGCAAAAAAATACAAAAATTTAGAAATAATTAATTATATTTAGATGAATTTTAGAAAAATAAATTAAATATTAAAAATAATGAAATTTAAAATATTAATATACATTATGAGTAAATATATATATAATTTGATTAAACATAAGAAATATATTATATGTAAACAAAAAACTATCATTATAATAAAATTACTTTTATATACAAAAATGAATTTAATATTCCTTCGAAATTATTAATTTTTTAATAATAACAATTTTATATAATCTAATTATAATAATAATTTAAGTATTCATTTGAACGTACTAGTTTATTAATTTAATGTTAAATTACTTTAATTTTTTTATGCATATTAGATTATATTATATTTTAATATATTTTTTTTAATATTGAATTTTAAAGATAAATGACTTAGTTACTTTTTTATCAAATTTTAAAGATCTGACCTTAATAGATATAACATAATTCTGAATTTTATATTTTAGTGTCAATAAATAATGAATTGAGACATAGTATAACAAAGCTATCACATCATCAAACGAGCCTTTATATTTGCAGTTTTCTAAAAAAAATATATTCTTTTCCTATTTTGCTACTACGCCATTCTTTCAAGAAATTGTGTTAGCAAATTAATGTTATTTTGTTAAAATACTCTGCCAAATGAAGAGACGTTTAAATTAGCAAACATTAAATATATAAATATTTAAGACTCTAATCAGATATTTAAAATCGTGACTGGTTTAGTGGAAAATTCATATTAACATTCATTCTAAACGGTGTTGTTGAAACCGAAATATTTTTACACGGTTACTAGTGAGAGAAGTGATTTCTAATGTTTTTATTTTTAAAATATGATATATCATGACAAATTAATTTTTTAATAAACAATTAATTATAATTAACTTTTTATATAATAATTAAAGTTATAAAAATTAAACAAGATACTACATATATAGTTTTAATAAAATAACTGACTTATAAAAGAACTCAAATTAACTGAAAAACTAATTAACTAAATTTCCTAACTAATTTCTATAACAAACTCCAGAACCTACACCGAAACTTCTAGATCCTTCTCTCGTTCTTTCTCCATAGTTTACTTACTCACTTTCAACTCCAATCTTCACCTATCCATTTTCACAGACACCGTGATCCAAATGGCACAAAACACCACCGTCACCGTTTACAACCCCGCCACCGCCATCACCGGTCCAATCCAAACCCCCTACTCATCCCACTTAGCACTCTCCCAATCCCTCCGCGGCGGTGCAATTCTCCAAGTGACCAATCTCGCTCAAGCCAAAATCGCCGAAGAAGCAGGCGCGTGCGCCGTCACAATCCTCGACCCAATCCCCGCCGGAAAACTCACCATATCCCGAATGCCCGATCCTTCCCTCATCAAATCCATCAAAAACTCCCTCTCAGTTCCCGTCATCGCCGCCGCAAGAATCGGCCACTTCGTCGAAGCGCAAATCCTCCAAGCCATCGGCGTTGATTACATTGACGAAACCGAACTTCTCACCCCCGCCGACGATGAGAACCACATCAACAAACAGAATTTCCAAATCCCTTTCATCAGCAGCGCCCGCAGCCTCGGAGAAGCACTTTACAGAATCAGAGAAGGCGCAATCATGATCAGACTCCAAGGAGAGTTAACAAACTCAGGTAACATTTCAGAAACCGTCAAGAGCGTAAGGTGTTTGATGAAAGAGCTCAGAGTCCTCAATAACATGGATGATGATGAAGTTTTCAATTTCGCCAAGAAAATCGAAGCGCCTTATGATTTGCTTGCGCAGACCAAACAAATGGGGAGGCTTCCTGTTTTGCATTTTGCCGCCGGCGGGATTGTTACTCCGGCGGACGCCGCGCTGATGATGCAACTCGGCTGTAATGGTGTGGTTGTGGGGTCGGAGATTTTTGATTATGAAGATGCTTTTAATCGTGTCAAGGGTATAGTTCAAGCTGTTAGGAATTTCAATGATCCTCATGTTTTAATTGAAACTATGATGATGGGTCTTAATCTTGGTGATAATAGGATTGAAGATGGGTCTTAATCTTGGTGATAATAGGATTGAAGATGGGTCATTTGATGCTGAAAATGTCTAGTTTTTTCTTTTGTGTTGATATACAATGATAATAGTGTTACATGATTTTGTGTAATAGGTTAGTAAAAATAAAGATTATGTATCATGGATTTTGGATTTATATATGATAATGATAGCATTTTCATGATTAAGTGTGATTGAGGATTGAATGTTCTTGCATTGTTTTTTATTTTATTTTTTATATCTTGGATGTTTTGAATTTCGTTTGGTGGTGATAATGTGTTTGTTGGTCGCATTTTGATTAGTGTGGCGTGAACACTTTGTTTTAAAAATATGTACGCCATGAGAAGCTGGAAAAATCATCTTAGAAATAGTCGGGTTGCAATGTCTTTTTTCTTTAAGTAAGATATATTGAAAAGAGAATAAAAGTTCTCAAAATTGATTACAAAAGAGTGAGACAAAACTCGTCAAAAGAAAGATTATACTCTAATTGAAATTTAAGAAAGATAAAACAAAGAGTTTTTCCTAAATGGGTAAAAGTTACAATTGTATTGTGTAATATTCTCGATGAATGACTATCTCCAAACCAAGGCTTTGACGTTCCAAACGACGTCCAAAGCATTTCAATCATCCTTCCTAAATATAATAACATTCGTAAGAATCTACTAACTCTAACAAGTTGCCGACCAAACACAACCTTCTTTTTCTCTTTTTATTTTTTTGGACTTGCAAAAAGAGCACCACCTCAAAAAATTATCTTTGAAATTATTCGTCTCAAAATCTACAAAATCAATCCAAGAGACCACTTGCTTCCAAACCAAATCAGAAATTCGACACAACAACAAAGAGTGGCCCAAGGATTCATTGACACCTTTGCATAGAACGCACACAATATCACTAGATTGAGAAAAAATACCTCTGATGACTAATAAATCTCTAGTTGGAAGCTTGTTGATGAAACACCTCCAACCAAAAACTTTGATTTTGTGAGGTACCTCCATCTTCCAAACCGTAACAAGAGCCTTATCAAACTTATTTTCCGGTCTAAGTGAAACATGGAATCTGCTAATAATCTCGTAACAACCACTTACCAAAAATCCTTGCTCAGGATCAGCTCCCCACGCGATCCTTCCCCTGCTGCCCGCGGTAAGAGAAGCAGTCCACATCAAAAAGTGCAGCTGCAAAATTTCTGCAGTAATAGCCAAACAGTCCAGGACGGAGATTCTGAAATCTCCCCACTTCTACTCTCCTCCAATTCAACCTCCCATACCCATATCGAAACTTTCTGCAATTTGGAAATTGAAAACATAGAAGGGAAACGATCTTTAAGGCATCCAAAATTCAACCAAGTGGTGTGCCAAAAAGAAGTAGAATAACCATTTTCAATGGTAAACCTACAATTCTTAACAAAAGCTTCCTCCAAATATTTTTTTCTTCCAAAGATAAGATGTCTATCCACCACGACATTTTAAAATTCCCACTCTTTTGATAGACCCCTATGTTCACCACTTGCAAATTGATATCTCCGTAGGGAGCCTTCAAAATATTATACCACAGAGCTTTCTCTTCCCTTAATATCCTCCTCCTTCATTTATGGAGAAGAGACAAATTAAAATCTCCCATCCTTCTAATCCTGAGGCCACCTTTCTCAATGGGGAGGTAAGGATTCTTTAAACTAACCCAATGAATCTTTCTACAATCCTCCGAACCACCAATAAGAAGTTACTTTGTAATCTAGTAATCTCCCTAATAATATTTACCAGAGCTTTGTAAAAGGAAAGAGTGAAAATGACAAGACTACTCAAAATAGATTTAAGAAGAGTAATTCTACCACCAAACCTAAGCAAACTCCTTTTCCAACTCAATAACCGCTTCTTCAACTTAAATAAAAGGAAACTCCACGAAGAAATCCTCCTAGGATTGGATCCTATAGAAACTACTATAAAAATGAACTCTTTATCTTCCACCCTACAAGAAAGAAAAGAAGAAGCAACCTTCAAGAAATTGGCATTAATGTTGATGTAAATTAACTTACTCTTGTGGTAGTTGATATCTAACCCCGACACTAGCTCAAAACCGATTTAATCACCCAAATGTGTTTCCAAGTTCCGTCTCCCACCAACAAAGTGTCATCCGCAAATTAAAGAATATCAATAGAATATTTTCCATTAATATCAAAACTCGCAAAATCCATGTTCTCCACGACCTTACTAACTTACCCCTTCAAACCTTCCACCACAATAACGAAGAGAAAAGGTGAAATAGAATCACCTTGTCTCAAATCCCTCTCCACCGAAAATTACTTCATAGGACTACCATTGACCAACACTGACATTTTGGTAGAAATAATTAAAGCCTCCATCCACTTCATCCAATTAACTCAAAATCCCATCTTTCTCATTGTGAATATAAGAAAACCCTAACTTACTTTGTCGTGTGCTTTTTTCTAGGTCTACCTTTAAAATGAGACAACCTTTTCCCTCCTTATTCGCATAATCCACAACTTTATTGGTCACCAAAACTCTATCAAACAATTGTCTACCTGACACAAATGCTCTTTGGCAATGGGAAATAATAGAATTTAAAACCTTATTCAACCTACACGCCAACAGTTCGGAAATTGCTTTGTAAATACATCCTACAAGGAAAATAGGTCTATAATCCTCCAATCCTAACAAATTAGGGGATTTAGGAGTCAAAGTAAAAAAAGAAGAAATAACTGTTTTTGACAAGACACCCCCGATATAAAAATCCTTGAAACATCTGAAAAAATCATCTTTAAGGAAGAACCAAAAATTCTTAATGAAAAGAAAAGAGTAACCATCGGGATCCGGGATTTTTGACCCCTCACACTCCCAAACTGCCTCCTTAATCTCACTCTCCGTGAAGGGAACCTCAAGAGAAGCACTTTCGGATTTGTCTAACTCTTAAAACTTTAACCCCTCTAGAACCAGCCTACTATCCTCTAGTTCATATGATTAAACTTGTAAAGATTCCGAACCTCTTCCTTCACTTCTGCCACCGAATCTACCATCTGATATGTGTCGGTATCCGACACTTGTATGGAACTTGTACAATACGCGTGGGAAAAGTTAAATAAGTTTCGTGTTAATACCATGGTTTTAGGATTGGTAAAATTTTGCTAAAATATGGTTTGTAGCACGATGTTTTAGAATGTGTTCTAACATGTTGTTCAGGAGGAAAATGTTTTGACAAATGTTGTAACATCCTGTATCAGAATATCAATATAGGCTGTATTATTTTCTTGAAAAATTTAAATTGTTTCTGTGAGATTACTTTTGGTTTTATCTCAGTAATTTTTTGCAAGTCAAGAATATTCAATCTAGAACAATTGATTTATCTCCAACTGTACACAAGTTTCTATAGTTGGTTGATTGAGACAATTTAGGAAACCTTGTGTTTGTTCCAAGGTTCAAGGATATTTTCCTGCACAGATTGGTGTAACCCTCAACATGGACAACAAGGAATATTTAGGCACATATGAAAGGCCCAAGGATTGATGAGGAGTATTTAAAGAAACTACCTAGACCTAAATTCATTATGAACTTTGTAAAAAAAAAGGGGAAGCCAAATTTTCTTAGTCTTAGGTTTTGAGGGTTCTTCAAGGGGTTTATATTTTTATTTGTATGTCCTCATGTATCTCTTGATACATTTAAGTTGACTGATTATTACTTGATAGTTTGTCAAGTTATTGTCTCACTCTTGAAACTTTTAAGAAAGAGAGTTTGAGCTTTTCTAATTGAGGTGTGTTCTTCAATTGTATTTTCTAGTCACTGGTTTGTGGCTGTACATTCTACTCATTGGGATTGTGGTTGTAGATATCACTATAGTGATTGGAAGTGAGATGATGATTTCTCATATCTAGGAGGTTCCTAGGTAGAAGTTGCACTGGGTAGGGATTAGGTGAGAAGTTGTAAACTAGGATTGTTTAGATTTTAACTAATACTACTGATAGTGGATTTCCTTCCTGGATTGGTAGCCCCCATAGTAGGTGAGTTACACCGAACTGGATTAACAACTCTTTGTATCCTTTTACCTTCAGCAGTTTATAATTCTGCATAGTTTTTATTTTTGGTAAAAGTTTATGTCAGCAGATGTCATAACATTTGTCATGACATTGTGTTTGTGTGTTAAGACACCAATCTTGATATCTGATAGTCTGTGTGTGCCAGAATTTCAACTGGCATCAGAGCATGTACAATGTTCTGTTTATTGGGTTTGCTCTAGAGAAAATATCTTATGACATTATAGAGAAAGAAGGAGAATACAATAAAGACCACCAATGCTAGATGGGTCAAATTATGATTGTGGAAGGTTAGAGTGGTGTCTTTTTTAAAAGCCATGGATAGCAAAGCCTTGAAGACTGTCTTAAAAGGGTGGGACCATCCTGTTGTGAAAGATAAAGATGGAAATGACTCTCTAAAGCTTGAAAAAGATTGGACTGAAGATGATGATAATTAGCTGTTGGAAACTTTAAGGCTTTGAATGCCCTTTTCAATGGAGTAGACAAAAATATCTTTAGATTGATTAATGCTTGCACTATAGCCAAGGATGCATGGGAAACTCTCAGGACAACTCATGAAGGTGCTTCCAAAGTAAATATGTCAAGGCTTCAACTTCTCACTACTAAATTTGAGAATCCGAGGATGAATGAGGATGAAACCATCCAGGAATATCATATGAGGATTCTAGAAATTGCTAATGCCTCAAGTTCCTTGGGAGAAAAGATGTCGAAGCAAAATCTTGTCAGATATATTCTTAGGTATTTACCTAGGAAATTTGGCATGAAAATAATAACAATTGAAGAAGATCAATATATTAGTACCATGAGAGTTGATGAACTTGTTGGGTCTCTTCAAACTTTTGAATTGGCTATTAGTGGCAAGTCTAAGAAAAGAAACAAGAGCATAGCCCCTGTATCAAATACTGATATGAACATAGATAAAAGTTTGTCAAATGATGTTGTTTTTCTTAGGAGACAACTCAAT